AACAAACAAACAAACAAAAAAAAAAACCAACCACCACCACCACAACAACAAAACTTTGGGAAACGCTACTGTGCTCTGAAGAGGTCTTTAAACGTGTGTGCAGGGGATTGTTCAGTTTTATGAAAACACTTGCCTGGAGGCCATACAATCACCAAACAGTCTCAGATGAGGGAGAGAATAAGAGTAGAAGAAAACTGTGAATTTTCCTATTTTTGTTGGCTAGGGTTTGCTGTATGGATGTTTTCTGTCTTGTGTGGTCCTTCCAGCAACATGGCTTAGCAGCAGTTCAGGAGAATGAAACCATAATGTCTATGACCCCCAGTACGAGATGACTCCCCGCTTCCTGAGATAAAACCTAGGACCTAATGCATGCTGAGCAAATGTCTGCCTCTGAGCCACAGTCGACCCTAGGTCACAGTCATCTCAGTAGTGACTGGTAGCACTAGAAAACCTTGGCTGAACAAATCCAGGGGGGCACATGCACAGTCTGGTACATGGTAAAAATTAAATCTTGTCTCTTTTGGGTCTTCTCTCTCCAATACCCTTTTTGGGGTAATTTAATACCTATTCTGAAAATGCAAATTTAATAATTATAACTTAATAATTTAAAGCAGTTTAACTTTGCTTCCAACTCTCTTCAGAAAGGACATATACATATATTACTATTATTCTTAAAAGAATTGTGTTACATTAATACTTTTTAAAAATCATTGATTGAGAATCAACTTGAGTATTTCTGCAACTATTAAATGGTTGAAAAGCTATCTAATTCAGGAAACTTCAGCTATATATTCAGACTTTTATCCTGTACCTTCTAGCAAGCATTTCAAGAGGAATAACTCTAATCTCTCCTGAGCTATTCCGGAGAACGGCAAGGAGTGAGTCATACAGCTCATCCTGTGCTGATAGCCTAACCTTGATGTCAGAAACAGGTGAGCATACATGTCGCAGACACAGACTTCTAGGTGGTAAAACCATAAAGCAAAGCCAAAAGGCAATACCCATAACTCTCTGGGGTGCTTAGCCCAGGCAGGGGCGGGGGTGAGGTGGGGCTGCTCAGAACCTGCTTGTTGGCTGTGTGTTGGCAGGGACAGGGGCTCTGGGAAGGCTGCCTCCCTTCTTTGTGAGTGTGAGGACTTCTCTCTAGCTGCTCTCCCTGTGGCCCACGCGTCTTTAAGTGTACAGGCCCAGCTCTCACACCTAGCTCACCCGTACACACCACCTGCACGAGGTCCTTCGTAATCCTTCCAAACACATATGCTCAGCCTGAACTCTATTCCCTCTCTCAAACTTGCTCCATGCTCTCCATTAGTTAAGCATCACCCTGTTGTTCAAGCCCCCACATGGAGAGCCCTTCTGGACTCCTTTCCATCAGCCAGCGTTTCCCATCTATCCCTGAGTGCCGCCTGCTCTGTCTCAAGTCTCTCTGAAGTGGGGTCACCTGTCTGCTTTTTAAATCTAGATTATGGAATGGCATCTCCCACCTCCCACTCTCATTTCCCGGCTAATGTAAAATTGTTAATGAACTTTTTAGGCTAGCACACAAAACAACAGGTTTCTCCATGGTGTCTTCACGCATGTACCATGTATTTTGTTTTCACCTGCTCCCCTTCCCCACACCAAGTCCACTCTCTTTCACCCCCAGTTAGAGCATCATTTTGTTTCCTTATCATGGGCATTCCATTGCCTCTTCTATCCCCCCTTATCATGGGCATTCCATTGCCTCCTCTATCCCCCCTTATCATGGGCATTCCATTGCCTCCTCTATCCCCCCTTATCAAGATTTCTCTGTCCCCCTTGTGACCTCCTTTTTAATTTTGTGACCTGCTGACACACACACACTACACACACACACACACACACTACACACACACACACACACACACACACACACACACACACACACACGGTAGATTCTACATATAAGAGAAAACATGGTAGCAAAAAGATAAAGTTTGAAGCCAGAAAATCATGTTCCTAGTTTAGAATTTTTCACCTTCTGAGCACAGTGTAGAAACTGCTGGAAATAGCCGCAAACTGTAAAGCCTCCCCCAAGGGCTGCTCAGTTTCCTTCCTGCTGCTCTCTGTGGCTCCATCTCCTCTGGCTTCCTCCTAATCTCACTCTGCTTCAGCAGCAGCAATCTGGTGTTGAGCCTTCTGAACGGGGTGATTCATCCTGTCTGAAACCTCCTCTCCCGCAATTCCTCTAAGGATTGACTCTTCGTCATTCTAAAAATCTCTCCTAACACACACCTGCCTTCTGGAATCTCTCTCCCTCATTACTGTGTCTGTCACCCACTCTGTCCTGGGGAAGCTGAGTCCAGGTAGGAACTCACACCGACAGGCAAGTCTTGAGCTACACACCACACAAGGAGCGTCTCCTCTTACTTTCCTTTGGGACAATGTCTCTCCCTGGATTGCCTAGGCTGGCCTTGAACTTGTGGTCTTCCTGCCTCAGTCTCTCCAGTAGCTGGGGTTACAGGTGTGTGCCCTCATGCCCAGCTGCCCCCCTGTTCATTGTCATAGGACAATCTCTCCCTCCTTGTTTCCTGTATTTTGTGTGTTAGCTTCCTTTTGTATTGTTTGTCATCTCCACACACATGGAGAGTGACAGTTTTTCGTTTATCGCAGAGCCCAACAGTGGAAGATGTCACGGAATGAAGAAGGCGAACACCTTGCCTGTAGCATGATCTATACAGCATTCTTTTGCTGATTACTAATTTCTACATCAGCAGTATTAAATAAGAAATTTTGTGTGTGTGTGTGTGTGTGTGTGTGTGTGTGTGTGTGTGTATGTGCATAAGAAAAGAAGAATTTTCAAATGTTGTCAATCATCTATTCCATACCTCATATGAAATTAGGTGTTGTGGAATATCAAGTCTCCCTCTGGACTTTTTATATTGCATTTAATTAGCAATGCTTTGGCTACTATGGTAGTTAACTTGTTTGTAGATATTCCCCATTTTCAGTTTTTCTCCTTTTTCAGACTTCTCTACATATGCTACCAATTTAATCTCCTTAATCTTTGCTCTAATCCTATCATATTTCTGACAATACAAACCTGACATTTTTTTTCCCCTGAGATAGGGTTTCTCTGTGTAGCCCTGGCTGTCCTGGAACTAGCTGAGTAGACCAGGCTGTCCTCAAACTCAGAGACCCACCTACCTCTGCCTCCTGAGTGCTGAGAGTAAAGGTGTGGGCCACCATTGCCCCACCCAGCTCAATAGTTCTTTTTAAATAGTGATATAAGTCTGAACTCCTGGGTTGGCTTTGCACAACGTGGTGGCTCAAGTCCCTTTCCAATTTTCCCTCTCTCCTCATCCATATTTGGTGGTGTGGTCAAACTGGACTTCCCTAGCATGGCCCACTCTTCCCAACTGCCTGCTTTCCTTCCTTCCAAAACACCGAAGAACACTGAAGTGTCCAGTGGCTTAACATCTGCTCTCATCAGAGTAGTCATTCTGAAGCCTTACTCAATATTAGGTCCAGATCACACTTCAGGACACTTTCCAATGTTCTTGATGACGTACCAACTCCTCACAGTTCTCATTCTTATGTGGGTCTCTCCAGGACCACCCTAACAAACCACCACAAACTCCATTGTTTAAACTGGAGCAATCCACTCATCACTTTGGAAGGTCCAAGTCAAGGCTCTCTCTCAGGAGCTTGTAACAGGGTCTATCCTTACTGTTTCCTAGCTTTGAGATAGATAGCAGTTTGGAGCTCTGTGGCTTGTGGAAATCCACTTCTGTCACACGGTGCTCTGCCTATGTGTCTTCCCCTGTGCTTGGGTAAGTGTCTTTTCTTACAAGGACTTCATACAAAAATCCCGTTTCCAGACTTACGACCACACTGACAGTTACCAGATTAAGTCTATGTGTGTTTAGGACACATACATGCATATAAACCAAATTGCTTCTTCTTAGAGTTCAGTCTTGATTTTGGAGATAAATTAACAGTGTGGCTGCAGGCTTTTGGCAAGAAACTGGAGTTAGCACTCTGAGGTCCCAAGAACAAGTCCTTGGGCTCAAAGTGTTTTTGAGTACTCCCTTAGTTTGACACTGCTTAAGGCCCCGAAAGTCAGTGTGTCGCTTAGCCAGCTGGCAACCTATTTAGGCTGCACTGTTCGTTATCCATCCCTGCCAAGCACCGACCCTTTCACTTTGCCCTGCTAGCCAAATAAACCATTTCTCATATTTTTTGTATAAAAATAATTATAGTCTGTGCTGTGGAATAATCCTTTTGTACACTGTGAAGATTTGTCACTCAGATTGGTTTAATAAAAAGCTCATTGGCCTGTAGCCAGGCAGGAGTTCTAGGTGGAACAACCGAACTAGGAGAATGATGGGAAGAAGGAGGGCAGAGTTAGGAGACACCAGCCAGCTGCCCAGGAAGCAGGATGTGTAGAAAATGAGGTAACAAGCCATGAGCCATGTGGTAAAGCATAGATATGAAATATGTGTTAACTTCAAAGAGTTTGGTTGTAACAAGCCTGGCATGTCAGCCGAGCATTTAGAATTTATATTTTCCGAGTCAGTTGTTTGGGAAGTGGCTGCTGGTGATTTGGGAACAGGTAGTCTGGACAGGAACCTTCTGCCTACAGTTCTGTGTTCACTGCCTGTTATGGTTTGAATATGAAACCTCCACACAGGCTCATGTGTCAAAGGGTTAGTTCCCAGGTGGGAACTTGGGAAGTGGTCTGGAAGCTTTAGGAAGTGGAGCCTTCCTAGAGGAAGTAGGTTACTGGATGCAGTTCCTTAAGTATCTTGTCCTTGACTCTTTCCTGGATTGCTGTCTGTTTTCTATCTGAGGTGAACATAGTTGTCTGCACACTCTTGCCACCATGAGACTCTGTTCAAATGCCTGGATCCAAGGAACTGTGGAATAAATCCTCTGAAACTGTCAGTTAAAATGAATAATCCCCTCTCTTCTGTTGTTCTGTTAGGTATTTGTTTATAGTGACACAAATCCTAACTGTCATACTGTCCATATGATTCCAGAACATTTCTGTGGTCACAGTGAAGGTAGCACTTGAAGATATGGAGCAGGAGACTACTGGTCGAGGTGTGGTGCATTGTGGATGATGCATTGAAGGAAATCTTGTTCATACTACTGGCTTTTGGTAAGACTCAGGTGACTATCTTAGAACAAAACAAGCTAACTGCACATTTAGGCAGGGTGTAACTCATTTGTTCACCTTCAAGGATCATTTTTATGACTTTCCTTAGTTCTTGTAAACTTGATGGGATGCACCAAGCAGATGTCTGTTGCTGAACATACAGCGTTCCCTTCCTGCTACAAAAATGAACAAGCATAGCATTACAGACTCCAGACGAGTTCTGATAGTGAGGCGTGGTTGTATATAAGTATATGGAGCCATTCTCATAGAAATGAAACCATACTAGCAGGAGCCATGTCAGTGTGTTGTACACAATTGTAGATAACACAAAGAGGGTTCAAAAGTGTAAACAACGCATAAGGTCTAATGCAATCAGTGGCTCACGTTTTGCTTTCATGTTTAGAGACAGTTTAGTGTTAGGACAGTTTAAGCTGGCTTCCTGCTTGTAACAAAGAGAGGAGTCATTTTCCATCTACGCAGCATTTTCAGCCTCCCCTCCTTTTTTTTTCCTTTTGGCACGAATCATTACTATTGAAGTTGCTATTGACGAAAGGCAGAACTAGGAATGGATCACATCAAGACAATGCTCGGCGGCACAGATGATGCGGAATACTTAACTGGATGAAATAAAGCTGCTCTTTTGCAAAAAGCTCTTCTCCATGAAGCTCAGTGCCAGGAAAAGATCAATTTTCTCTATTTTTAGCCCTTTCCATTTTGTCCCTCCGAGGGACACAGCAGATGCTACACAAGTTCTAATAGAGTGAGACAGTAAATCCAATGTAGTCATTTTGGTTTTCTTTTGCACCTTTCTTGGGCAATTACATTAAAGTGTCCAAATGAAGATGGCTGCCTTTCATATGTTTGGAAGGGCAGATGACCTTTTTATGTGTATCAGTTGGCTATTCAGAGCAATGGAGACCCCAGATGTGGCTAATGACCTTTTCAAAGGAGGCCAGAGGAAGACAATAAAGGAGGCAGTGTCGTTATTCTGCTGGCTTCTAGCAGCACAGTAAGTTTTGCAGGGATAATGAGATTCATTATGGATTCATTAGCAATTTTATTCCTTTGGAAAAACTGATGATGATGGAGTTAGTTACAATTAAAGAAGCTCTTTTGATTTCCTGGCTTGATTCAGCAGCCCGGGATCCTAAGCTCAGCTCTGGAATTCTGTGATCAATCAACTTCATTCTTCCTCTTCTGGTACTTGAATGTTACTCCTAGACTTCATTAAAATGTTCTTGTACTAATGCTGTCGAAGGGATTTGCAGCAAACATTGGGGATTTGAGACCTAATTTAACTGGGAAATAATGGGATCCCAACCCTAACAATTCAATGAAGCCAAACATTTTATGAAGCATGACTGACTACATGTGAAATCTGTTTCTCTTGATTGTGTGAAAATAAGATTTGTCAAAATAGGAAAGACAATGGGTAATTCTCTTGTCAAAACTCTGATATTATAGATGAAGACAGAAAAAGCATTTTTCCAAATGTTAAAACTTTTTTTCTTAGTAAAAATGGCAAGCTATTATGTAATTCTTTTTTCCCCCAGCCCAGTAAGTTCTGTGACATGGTTCTTGAAGAGAAACTTTTGGTATGGAATAGGGAAAAGCAGAGTGCTAGGGAAGTTACCAGAAATCCACAAGGATGACTCCACCATTGACTACTGGCAATAGTTGAGAGGGTGCCTAAACTGGCGATCAGATGGCTGAATACCCTAACTGTCATCATAGAACCCTCATTCAGTGACTGATGGAAACAGATGTAGAGATCCACGGCTGGGCCCAGGCAGAGCTCCAGGAGTCAAATCGATGAGAGGGAGGAGGGATTCTATGAGCAAGAGATATCGAGACCATGATTGGAAAAAGCACAGAGACAACTAGCCAAACTAGTGGAAACACATGAACTGTGGACCAATAGCTGAGGAGCCCCCATGGTGCTGGACTAGGCCCTCTAGATAAGGGAGACAGTTGTTTAGCTTGAACTGTTTAGGGGGCCCCCAGGCAGTGGGACTGGGACCTGTCCATAGTGCATGAGCCACCTTTTTGGAGCCTAGTGCCTATGGTGAGACACTTTGCTCAGCCTTGGTGAAGGGAGGAGGGGCTTGGACCTGCCTCAACTGAATGTACCAGGCTCTGCTGACTCCCCATGGGAGACCTTGGGAGGAGGTGGGAATGAGGGGTGGGTTGGGGGGAAGGCTGGGGGGTGGGAGGAGGGACGACAGGGTAAACTGTGGTTGTATGTAAAATGAATAGAAAGCCTCTTAATTGAAAAAAAAGAGAAGTTTTGATTTGACAAGATTGCTGTTTTTTAGTTCCCAGAAGTGATAAATTAGTAGATGTGGTAGGATGTGGAGAGAAGAAAGACCACAGACCAAAATCATCATGATCAAATTAATTAAAGCAAGTAATTAATTAGAGCAAATCCTTTTATTTATGTACATGTGCTGCCTACCCCTAAGGCAGGGTGCAAGAGGTCAGCATTGCACATGAGGAAGACATGGTTTTTATAGCTCAGGGGTAGGGAGTTATCAAATAGGGGATTTGGGCGGGGCGCAAAATAGACAGGGCTATAGAAGCAGAACATCATAAGGTGGCCATAACAGCCTTTTGAAACAAAGTTAGGGTTGCAAGGTGGTCATTACCATGTTTTGAAACAAAGACACCACTGCAAGTTTGTCATAAGGTAGTCATAACAACAGGTAGTCATAACAACAGTTAGTCATAGCAACAGGTGGTCATAATAACAGGTGACTATCATAACCTTTTAAAACAAAGCCATGGTTACCATATCCTGGGACAGGCAGTACAGAACCATTTGTAGTTAAAGTTACAGGTGGAGTATAGCCCAGCCCTTGAGAAACAGATTTAATCATAAAGGAGAATGAACCTAGTTTGTCTTTACTATAAGATGGTGTTCAAGCCCAGGATGGAGGCAGCCTGGTTCATCATATGCTGTTCCCCTCTCCTTAGGGCTAAAACATCTACTCCCCAATTGCTGCAGCTCTTGGATGACTTATGGACTTGCCCTTGGCTGAGGAGTGTTGTCTTGGACAGGTCATTCTCCCTCCATGGTGGTGACTCTCTTCACCAAAGCCTGGTCCATGTAAGAGTACAAAGGCTGTTTCTTTCCAATATTGGATGACACTTTAGGGCCATCCTTGATTACAGTTTCTTATGGGATTAGCTGAGGTCTCTCTTGAGACCACTTAAACATTCATCCTCTTCTGCCTTCTACAAATACTAACACTGTGATCACACCTAACAGACCTCCTTCACAAGCATCTACCTCACAGCGTTCTTTGGGGTCCTTCTGATTGTGCTGTCTTCTACATCTGCCTAGCTTCACGTTACATAGATAAAGAATCCCATGCTTTTGAACCTATAATAGCATCATCATCTAAAATAATGTGACTTAGTATATCATAGAAAGACACTGTTATTAGAGATCACTGCTGTGGGACGGTCTGTATGTCAAATTGCTCTGATTGGTCAATAAATAAAACACTGGTTGGCCAGTGGCCAGGCAGGAAGTAGGTGGGACAAGGAGAGAGGAGAATTCTGGGAAGCAGAAGGCTGAGGCGGAGAGACACTGCAGCCGCCG